TTTTGGTTAACAGACCCTTTCACAACATGATCCATCTGCAGAGGCTTTCTGGCAGAACACTTTGAAGGCACACCTCCCCCACCTGTGGTTTGTGTGTAGTTCCACCCACACAGCCACAGCCAGCTGAAGCCAGCAATGGTAAACTGTACACACACAGGGTGATATAGGCTACTCCTATTGAAAACACTTATCATTTAAACAAGGCCCTTGTTCACCTTGATCTCACTTTAGAATGATGAATTTCCACCATTATACTGAAGCGCTGCAAACATTTTACCTCCTCTCCTCCACTTAAGGATTGCTCTCTGTCAGGGCAGGTGAGGTGACACACACTGACCTTCTATTCACCAGAGCAGTTGGTCCTCACTGCCAAACTCATCTGAAAAATGCCCAGAGGTGTAAATTTGTGCAGACAATTTATCTCAACTGCTAGCACTTCAGGTATCTCTTCTCCCTGAGAAACTGGCTGCTGTTTCTCCAATTGTCCTTTAACAATTACTTGGGAGAGATTTGGGGAAGACTGTGGCCAGTTAAACTGCAGTTTTCTCAGCCACCATTGTGCAGGCCATCTAAACCATGGGATACAAAGCTCTCAAGTGCACCAAAAGCCAAATAAAGAGGTGGAGAAAGAGGGGGAGGCAGATAAAAGCAGACAACCAATGTATTATAACTCGGCTCTATTAGATATGAGCTTTTGCTAGGGTGATGCACCATGGCTTCAGGCAAAGATACTGCTTGCTCATTGTGCTTTAGCAGGGGGGCTAGGAAAACTGTGTAGCTACTGTGATTCTGTATATAACATACAGTCGCTCATGCATGATTTACTAAACCAGAATTCTTACTAATTCTAAAGAAGTGAAATAAACAGATTTGCTCAGACTGCAGAATGTATCCTATGACATACACTATGTATATGCTTAAAAATGGCTTGTAATCAAAAATTAATTCATAAAATAGTGCTGTCCAGTTCCTTTTCACCATCTATCTACTTATTACAGAAATCTCTCTGTCCAGCTGTCTGTATGTGGAACGCTTATCTCGAGAACCTTTCATCTAATCGGCTTCACACTTGGCTTGTGAATTATTTAGGGTTGAAGGAAATGCAGTGTCAAATTTGATACCATTTAGACCTAATGATTTCACTGCAGATAAACCAGGTGGGATGAACACAAAGTTTTCTAGCTTCACTCTGCACCATAGACTGTTTTAAAAAAACTCCACACACACAATAAAAAGCGATATTGTAGAACTGTTTGAGGAGGATTATTCAATTTCTTATATATTGTTGTTTTTCTACATTGTTGTTTTATGTACATAAGCAGTGCACCAATTACACCAAGGCAATTTCCTGTATGTGCAAACATACCTGGCAAATAAAAGAATTCTGATTCTGATTCTGATTCTGACAAGGAATACTTCTGATGTAGATGCGGAGCTTTAACACAGGGCAAAAAAACAGACCATTCCAAACAGGCAGGTGTAACGGGCGCTTAACTTGTTAACCTACTAATTCCAAAAATCTTGTCTGTATGTATGTAGAACGTGTTTCTCTATGTGTAAAGGTCAGAGGACAGTTTTGAATTTGGTTTGATGTGGACATGCAATACATTAAATCTGAATACACTTTGGAAGTAGCAACAGTGGCTTGGACTGGGTTCTGCGTACTGAGTTGAGCTTCACTTAACTTTGAATAAACAGGTGAGCAGCTCTTTGTGTAGCACTCATTTTCCGCAATTCACTTTTACAGTTTCAGTAAGAAGCTGCAATCAGCATTACCACATAAACAGTTTAGAACGAGCACTGCTCTAGTTCATTCAATTTCTGTAACATATGAAATAAATACTGTATATTCCACTTACTGTTTACACTACAACAGACATCTGTTTTTATATAACATTTAACAAATGGACATATTCTGTAATTTTAAATATATTTTGTGTATTTACAGCCCAGCTTCCCTTTGTGATTACCTTGATTACCTTGGGCTTAAACAAGTGATTACTTTATTTCACAGACTACATATGCAGGGCTACCACTTTAATGAGGTTTTCTCCCACATGTTTGGTGATTTGTCGTACTGGTTGTGTCCCGTCTCTAAAATTAACACCTTAAATCACTTTTGCATGTTTTTAAATAGTAAAGTTGCTAAAAATCACTTTTTTATGATGCATTTCTCATTTTGTCCAGTAAACCACAATAAATCACAGCGCTAAGTGAAACTATATGTATTCAGCTACTTAAATGTTTATGATATGATGATACCACAGGGCATAAATGCTGGTTTGGGTTTTTCTCTATCATCAGTTTTAATAAACAGATGGATTTTACATTGGGCCCTAGACCTACATTATATTTCCTCAGTATTTCATCATCATTTTAAAGTGCCCATATTATGATTTTTGTGCTTTTCTCTCCTTTAGTATGTGACAGTTTTTTTTGCATTTCTGCTAAGTTAAAAAGGCCCAAGTATGCAGTACAGGGAGAACTTCTCTCCCACAGAAACACTGAAACACCCCATTTGTAGTCCTGACATGACAGTTGATTCGTTTTTAATAAGAAAATGGATAATGAGTGCATCGCGAGGACTATGGAGTAGACAAAGATGATTAAGAGAACAGTTTCAATAGATACTAATAAATAATGAATTCATGAATCTTGAGGCAATAACTGGCTCATAAATCCACTGATTGTGAACCGATTTACAGTTCACTTTTGTTTCTGTTACACAGAAAATTGTGTAAATTAAATTTGTTGTTGATGATGATGGTGATGATGATGACATTTATTTGTCAGGCTCATAAAATACAACAAAAAAAAATGGATTAAAATACAAACAAATGTATTGTGTGTATTTCATCAGATGCAAAAATAACTGGTTGATGCATTACTGATTAATTAAACATTAATTTTTTGTCTTTAAAATTAGATGATAAATCCAACTTAGTGTAGTCACCAAGTAGTGTCTTATTAAAATTAAAACATGTTCTCTTATATGAATAACATTTCAACATGTTCTTATTTTTATTAACGTGTTTTTATTTGTATCTATATTGTATGCACTTTGAGCTGCATTTCTTGTATGAAAGGTGCTATACAAATAAAGTTTCTTATTATTATTACTTCATGAAACACTTATTACTTACCCTATTACTCAGGCAAAATGACGCATCATACAGTTGGTGTGCACAAAAACAGTAGATAATGTAATAACCCAAGCAAAGTGAAACACAGTAGTACAGAGTAGTTACTGAGGATTCTCTCTTTCCTTTGTTATCAGATCACTATCAGTACTTTTGCAATAAACCAATTAATCCTAATACTGGGACCATGTTCACGTCTATTCTTTCAGGTTGTGAAAGCCAGGGCCAAAATGCTCTAAATTACTTTTGTTCAAAATTGCTGCGCCCCTTGTACATGTGGCAAACAGGACTTTCACAGCATCTGGTTCTTGTCACACATGATAATGATGAAGATTTGATGATCAATTTGATGTCATTCTCGAATGCATTAACCAACTCCTTTATACATTTATGCGTTATCGTGTATGTGTGCTTCTGTGTGTGTCCTGCATAGTTGCCTCATTGTGAATGTTCCTTTTTTTATTTTTTTGCAGACACTGTGCTGAAAATATCTGACAATCAAGAGAATATTAGAGGGTTGGAGGGATTCCACTCTGACTAAGTGGCTCTTACTGCTGTGGAGTGTGACACTGCTCTGCTATTCATAATGATTCACTGTGCTGTTGACACACTGTGGTGGGGATACTTAGAGGAATCCAGCTTCTCTGACTCTGCTGATGAGGGTTTTTGTTTCTGGAGAGCGTGCTGGACCAGTTCACCAGCTCGTTCTTTGATCATCACAGACACATCAACTGGGTTCTCCGTTCACTGATTCATCAGAGGTTAAAACATTAACAAAATAAAGTTCCATGTGAACTGCATTATGGTTAGGAGTTTAATTCAAAAGGCTCAACATAAGAAAGTCCTTGATGTCTATAAAAAATACCTGAAGTCAAAGTCAGGGGCTGGTCAATCAACAGTGGTGACATGATAATAATGCTGCACTCATTTAGGTGGAAATGTATTTCAAGCCAAAGAGGCACATAAGCAAGCAGCTGATCTCTTGTTTCTGAGACGTGAAGCAGCTTAGTTTTACATGCTCAGGACACTCATCCATCACGGCTGCTTAAACCCCAATCTCCTTAATGCTTTGTGCCAAGCAGAGGCACACCGGGCCGCTGTATGAGGACAAAGGTTTGACTCATTTGGAAAATTGAATGTGCGGCCTCTCACCATCACAGTGGATACTCTGACCACAGGGCCACTGAACTGGAATAAAAAGGGTATAATTGGGAAAAAAATGTAAATTCTTCACTATGTTCTTTGGTTAAACCTGAATTCATCTCACACACACAAACACACACAAGATTTTGGAGTGAAATTATGGCGAGCACAGGTTCTCTGTAGTGTTTATGTCCAAAATGTATTCTCACTTTAGAATATAGGACTAGATGGTGAATGTCCCTTGTAGGTTTGAAGGTCTTCTGCACAATGTAAGTTACCAACTACCAGTGGATGTTAGCAGGCATAAGTAGCCACCAGTGGATGTTAGGGACATAAGGATGTTTTGGCCTCATACACTGATACAAGCTGAACTTGAGGGTACACTGAGGCTAAAGATAAACCTTGTCATGTGACCTGCTCAGTCGATCTGACATCATTGCCTATACACTGTTCTATTTCAGAATTCAGGACAAGATGGAGAATATCTTATTATATATAAAGATTTTATATATAAATCTTATATATATTATGTATATATTTTGCAGCAAAACACTTCTTCTTGATATTATATTGAGTTGTACAATAACTCAGTGTTTATCACCTCTTTTAGAGTGTTTTCTTTATATGTATTCAATTATTAAAGTTAAAAACAGCAGAACAAAACAGTTGGGCCATTTGTATCGTCCATCAAAGAGCCATGGAGCCATTAAGACTAACCTGGGACTTGTTGCTGGACCATCTCCGACAGATCCTGCTGGTGGATGAAGAGAACCAGACCTCCAACAGCGAACAGCAGGAGGAACCAGAGAAAACAGGGCAGCCTCCTTCTCCGTCCACGCAGGGAGTCCACCACCATCTTCCACTTCATCCACAGCATGATGCAGCACAGTCAGACACTAATGTAATAAGTTCTGGAGAAAATCAAGGATAGCAGGATATGGGGAGAGGAGGGAAAGAAAGAGATAGACAAAAGAAGAGTGAGCAAAAGAGGCGACTGTGTTCAGAGGTTTTCATCTTTCTGTATTAATGTTTCACAGGACAGATTTCAAGCTGTATGATGAAATGTAGCAAAGTACTGTAGTTCAGTACAAATCTAAAGTTCTGGTACATGACTATTTTTCTCTTTTATGATATGTTACTGTTGCGGAACTATATCTTCCTACTAATTCCACAGACGTCTGTCTATCTGTTTGTCTTTCTGTTTTCTCGCTTCAGACTTGGTGTGTGTACTGTAAATTTCCAGAGGAAGTGCAGTACAAAATTTGGTGTGATTTAGACATAATATATTTAATAATAATACAATTTGACTAAACAAGCACCCAATGCTCTGTAATAGCCTGTGGGCAGAGTGCCTGTAGTCAGTGGACAGAGTTAAATCTTCTTCTACATCCTTGGACAAGTATCTTATAAATAACTAGAATAAAATCATCTATATATATATCATTTACAAAAGCCAAACACCTCAGTATATATACGTAATCCATTGAAGTCTGATCAGAATGCCAACATAAAAACATGATGGTCTACCACCTTCAAATAGAGAAATCTGTGTTGTGTTTCTAAGGATAGAGTACTTTAAACAGTACAGCAGTAGGACTGTCATGACTGAAGACCGACTTTAGGTTCTGTTCAAACAACAGAAAGACGAAATGTCATCTGCCTTCAAATTAATATGCAAAATAACTCAGTCTCTACTGTAGTGTGCGCTTTCACAAACCAGAATGAATGAGTGTCGTTACCGTGGTAATGCTTCTCATTCGTGCTTGAATCCCATTCGACGGGAATATTTCCAAGGCTTTTATGGACTGCAAAACAACTCAAGGTGCGATTTATTTTCTCTCTCCAAATTCTGTACAACACATACAAACTTCTAGCAGTCACAAGCACTGGATATTAAGAAGAGGAATTGTATACCCTGATGACATATTCAACAAAAACTACAATCAACTTGATACAACATCAATGTCCTGTCACTGATGCAGTAATACTTGTGTAACGTGGACACAGGTGTGTGTTTATATCTTGCAACTCCAGTGAACTCGTCTCAGCCAAACACGGTATCGAGCTGGGAATATACATTTTATAAATATGAGTCAGTTTCTGCTGCTTTAGAAACCTTACAATGAAAATCTAAGTTTTCAGGAGACATTAATTTTGACTGGCATGGAAGTGGAGGTGATATCAGATTGGACATCAGACCATTTGTTTAAGTGGGTATTAAATTAGTCACAGAGATGTCAAACCAATAGGCCTCCTTGAAACCCATTTATTCTGCTTTTTATTGACAATCTCTCATTTCCATGAGTGTTCTTTTTTCTATTCTGAAATTAAACCATGCAGGCAGCAATACCCACTGAAGAGAGAGTACAATTAAAAAGTGCAATAATGAATTTCTCAACGCCTTAGCATTATTATCATGAAAGGGCAAACCTGCAGTATATTTAATACAGAGGAGAGAGGGAAGATGCATTGACGTATTATTGGCGTATGTTTATCTTGCTTTGGCTTGTGGACTCAAGTGAACTCTAAGGTTCACTTCCTGAAATGGATATTTATCATTTCATCTATCCATCCATCCTGCATCTATTCCATCTGACATTAGGCAAGAGGTGTTGTACCCTCTGGACAAGTTGCCAACGTATCACAGGGCCAACATAGAGAGACAGCAACCATTCACACTCACATTCACACCTACAGTCTATTTAGAGACTCCAATCAATCTAACCCCAATCTGTATGTGTGTGGGAGGAAGCAGATGTACCCAGAGAAATCCTACACAGACACGAGAAGAACATGCAAACTCCACACAGCAATACTACACAGCAATACCCCGAACATTGAGATTCGAACAAGGAACAGTGTTAAACACACTACTGTGCTGCCCATTTCATGATTTCAGTCATAATAGTCATTAAAACCCCTACAGAATGAAATTATGACAAAGAATAATATATAAATATTATACACATAATGTACATGTTATAAATAAAACATTTCCATGTGATGGAGGAAATGATCACTGTGCACATGTTCACTGTTGGTACATGGGAACGTGATGGAGTTAAGATTAAGTGCTAAATTCGACGAAATGTGGAAAAAGAAAAAAAAGAAGCTCATATGATATTATGTAAATAAATTACTATTCAACCTCATTAATCTACCACTATGTTCATCTCTTTTGCCGCCTGCATTGTTGCCATGCCAACACAGGTGCTAACCAGGTGGCTGTCATCACTGGCTGCCATTTTTATCCCAAGGTGTAAACTTCCCTTTGATAAAACCTTTTTTAATCAGTACACACGGACTGCTATCCATTGTATTAAAACCACACGACTCTTGAGGGTGTTCTTTACTGGGATTACAGGGACTTTGGCCGCTGAGCTGGTACAAAGCCAGTACCTGTGGTATCACCATCTTGTTCTTTAATCCCAGATATGTATGACACCTCTGCTGCTTTCTCCTGCTTCAGTATCGCACTACACTGGTTTGTCTATAAACAATTAGAGCCTTTATTAGAGGTATTGAGTGAATGCTGAATATTAAGAAAATCATGTTTCAGTTGCTTTGCTGAAATCCATTTTTCAATGCATGGTAAGACTGAAGTGAGTGCTTTGCAGTTGGCTCAGTTTTCATCCTGCACATTGAGAGTCATGAAAGCATTTTATGCAAGGCAGCTTAAAATTCTCAGATGTTATCCTTTCGTTCTGCTTTACAGAATAAGACCAGGTTTGACCATGTCACCCAACAGTTTCATCACCTCAGTGTTTTACAAGATATAAGGTCAAGGTAAACATCAATGTGTTGTGTCTGGATATTGGAGATATTTTTGGAAGTATAAAATAATGTTAGGATTTATACCCCTTTGGGTTCAGTGCAAGGGGGGGGGCAATGGTGTACGGAGTCAGCAAAGTGTGAAAAGCATTCATACATGTCAGTGTTGATTTTGGTGATTTGAAAAGACCGTCCCTGTTTTCTGAGCCTCAAGCAAGTTGGTTTCAGCAGCTCCTTTTATATTGTTAACCTGAAACTGTGCTACACGAACCTCTTCACTGTGAGAAATCTGTAGACAGTCCTGCCCTTTGTCTCTTCCCACTAATACCACAAGTTAAGTGCATTCTGATTATACTTATTACCATAACCTGGGTTGCATAGCAGGATTAAACAGTGAGAATTAAAGAGACAGTGACGGTACAAAGCACCCACCACTGGCACATTACTTAATTGTTACTAAAACGACAAATATGCTATGGGCCTATGCCTGCTGCTGGTGTGTTTCCATGGGTTGTATCAAGCGACCTATGTGGTTGTTAAGATTGGGCAATTGGAAAATACTGAAATATAAACCTGTTTTTGTAATGAGAAAAGGATGTGATCTATAAGCTAAAATAGATCATAAATTTTAAATTTCAAACCAAAAATGTTAAATATCCTTCTAAACATATTGATGAGTATAACATTCAGTCATTGATGGAACAGTTGAAAGAAACGATGCAGTGCATACTTTCCAGGTCTTGATGTGTAGCTAATATGATTACAGAGCTGGAAAATCCTCAAACTTCATCAATGTAACATCTGAATGAATAAAAAGGATGAAAAAAAATCCTATCACTGCAACTGTCACAATGTGACGTTAACATCTCATTATAATCAAACAACACTTCATTTTTAAAGCAATGTGCTCCATGTGCTTTGTGCTCCTCTTCAGGACAGATGTATGTGTCAAGAAATGACATAACATTTCCCATTTTATGACAAAAAAACTTTCTGTGTCAGTGTAATGAAACAGCTTCTGGGTTTGATGTTCCAATATGACACACATCAAAGAATTGTTCTTTGTAGCCTCCACAAATATAAATGATCAAATAAATATGGTTTACCGTATATGAAACATCCAATTTCTATGATGAAATTGTTGCAATGCAAAATAAAGGCAGCTGTCAGCAGAAATTTTCACTTTATAAAATGAAACTAAAACTAAGAAAGGGAATGCGGACATGGAGACATGGACACTCAAGTATATTATATATTTGCCGCTGCTTCTTTCCACTAACCTCACAACAGATGAGGACACCTGTAACCAAGGTAACTGTGCACAACAAAGATGGCAACTGCTGCAGCTTTAACATGTTTAGACAACATGCAAAATAGTTTTTCATTCACTAAAACTAACAAATCAAATCACAAAACTTTTGACTGATTCAAAATAAACTAAGATATAGATATAATGTAGAACCATCATCAGTTATTGCATCCCTGGAATCAGATAAGGAAATAGCAAAGCATTATAAATGCAGCTCTCACATATGCACGTGACACTGCAGGTGTGCTGATCGCGTCACAACATGTCTCGGAAAAGAATGCAAATTAAATCCATTTTCATTATCTTACTGTATATCCAATCACCTGCTTCTTCCTCTGATGTTCCAGAAAATGTTCTGGGGAAATATTTTCTTAATAGCACAGATCCTTCCAGTGTGTTGGAGAAAGTGAGCATTGTTGGCTGCTAAACAAAAAGAGAGGGAGGCAGTTGCCAGGCCTGTTTCATAAATTAATGATTATATGAAAGGGAATGTGATCATGGTAGAATAAGAGCTGGTATGGATCGTGTTCAAAGCTGTGCTAATTGTCTTTATCTATGACAGACGGTGATCTCTTGGAACACACTGCAGGGATGAGCCTTTGAAATCAATATATATCAACCATCAACCCTGTCAGCTTCATCACATTGCTGCTCACTGTTAGAAAAGGTCTTATGATCATGTTTAAAAAAGGTTGCCAGCAAAGACAAAGTAATGCATGCAAACAATACCCTGACTGCATTCTTTATGTAAATGCAAGGTAATAACAAACCAGTACCCGCAATGAAATGATTGCATCCGAATCATCAATGCATTAATGTTGAAAAAACCAC